CACAGACCACGAGATCATGACTTGAGCCGAAGTCGGATGCTCAACCGACTGAGCCACCCAGGTGCCCCACGTTTGCTAAATGTTTAATGAATGCTATCAGGGAAAGAATTAATGAAAATGTGGTCTTAACCTAAGGTGAGTAAACATGTATTTTTAAACAAACATCTATTATTTAAATACCAATACGACAGTGATCATCATTGAGGGTGATCACAATTAATCTGGATGTGTCTATGGGTAGGTATCCTGATGGCCATCAAAACAAGGACAATTAAGAGGGAAGTCAAGTTATAGGTCTCTGTGATGCATACTTCCTCCAGAGAGTCTAATCAGTATTAAAGGCTCTCTGCCTTCCCTCTGCCTGTCTGATCATTAAAGAATAACAGGATTGAAAGAGAGTTAATTATAGGGCTAAGAAACCATATGTCTTCGATAAAGATGGGATAATATTCCCAGAAATAAGTGAAAAGATGTACAGAGAGAATATTAGTAGAGAACTTAATAAGACCTTAAAAAGCAACATGATTACAGAACAAAAACAGACACTAACTGGAGACCTGGACTGCAAAGGGACGAGGAAAAAGAAAAATGTAAACACAGAGGCCCAAAGGTAGGCTTTGCTGTCTTTGCCCATGAGGAGGATTCTATTGGAGGAGGAAGTCCAGTCCACATTAGACTGAACCAAGTCCTGCTCCTGTAACCTAGCATGCAATCATGGGGCACCCTGATGCTGAAACACCAAGAGTGGTACATCACTGCCTTTCCTCGTAACAGCCACTGCAGCTATAGTAGTGGTGGTGGTGTTGCTGTCGTTAATTCACGAGCATTCGTTCAAAGAAACAAGTATTTGTTTGCAATCCTTGTCAGCTACCTTTGATAAGATACGGATGATTGCAGCACTTCCTGAGCTCCATCATGGTATTGACCAAGTTAGGTACATTGGTCTGCCCTGCCCCTTTGGATAAAAAGGAGAAGTTCTTCTCCAAAATAGCCCGGTAGTATTTCTTTTGAATGTTAGTAAGTTCCACTTCAATGATGGTTTCTTCCTTTGGTGCCAGCTTCTTCTCCACATCTTCTTTCAATCGCCTCAACATCATGGGTTTCAGGATAGCCTGAAGTTTTTGCACCTGCATAAAAAATGATGAAAAGATATATAACGTATATGAGCATTTAGTTACAAATACATAAACACAATCACAGTGATAAGAGATTTGATGCCTTTGTTTACAAGGACCAATGAGGATACCTGTTCTTCTGTTTTCAGATCCCCAAATTCTTGCATAAATGTTGATTCGGAAGGAAACCTTAAAGGTTCTAGGAAGTGAAGAAGACTGAATAGTTCTTCAACTGTATTTTGGAGAGGTGTACCAGTCAAAAGCACCTTGTGTTCCTACATGAAGCAAGAATAATTCATGTCACATACCACAGTACTAAAATTATATGAAAGCTGACATAGGTTATCAAATGTTCAATGTTTTTCAAAAGCAAGTATCTTTCCCAACCATAATTTTCAAGAGTCAACTCAAAATACATCTCTACCCACAAATCTTCACTAATTTTTCAATTGCTTTTTTAAAAACTCTTATCATTCTTGTAATACTTCCCTTTTACAGGCTATTTTTTACCTATTCATGCTTTTAAAAGAAAATTTCTAAATAATTAACAAGCATATTTTATATTTTCTCAAAGAAATAGAACTTTCAAGAACAAAGAAGTTAGTTGTTTCTTTAGTACTCATTCTTGGCATGGTAATTTGTATGCAAAATGGTTCTCATTCTTTATCATTTGGGTAAACATCACTGGACTTTTCACAGAAGAACAAGCCTCAAATCATTAAGGCTACAATGCAACAATATGAAGAGCTGACTGGAATATGCTTCTAAAGTAGAGTTGCATTACAAACTGAACATAATAGTAATAGGAAATAGACAAGATATTTCTGATGATAGTATGAATTATCATTTAAAATTTGATTTGACAGTATCTCTAAATCCCCAAGCTAAATATTTGTATACGTATCTGTATATCTGCATATGTATGTATACGCCAGTAAATGTTTAGTCTAGAAAGATACACACTCATCTATAAACACTGGAGTGGGGAGTGGAACTAGGGGGTGGGCATCAATGGGGCATAAAAAGGAGGACTTCGATGTGTTCCTGTATGTAGTTCCGCATACTGGAGTGACTTGTTCAAGTGTCCGTGTACTAATTATGTGATGTTAATTAAACGAAAATGTTAACAAAATGGAAAAGACTCTGATTTGAAATAAGCAAACACACTAGCAAGAAGACTTTAAAAAATGCCATTTATTAATTGTAACCAATATATGCTGAGCATGTGAAATTTTGTTCCTTAGTAATTAAACCGTAAGAGAAAACAGAAAAAACCTCAATTACCAGACAGAAATCAGATATAACCATCTTCTAAAACTTAAAAAGGAGTACATTTAGCATTAGCTCTCTGCCTTTGCATTTCACTACGTAGCTAAGAAACTGAATTAAGTCAAAATAACGATAAGTTACTTACCAGATTCATGAGTTTCAGACCTTCAAGAAGTTTACAATTTTTATTCTTTAACCTATGTGCTTCATCAATAATCACACATCGCCATTCAATTGCATTTAGCTCTCCACAGCCACCAAGAATCATTTCAAAAGTGGTGATGATGGCTTGGAATCTGTAAGCTCCTCGAATGATACGCCCCTAGAAATTTATTATCAAATACAATAATTTGCTAGAATGTCTTCATCACAATTTTTAATTCCTGTCAAATTGCATAAAAATACATCTAAAGACATCTGCTACATTTTCCACTGAAATTTTTACATATGCATATACTTTCTTTAAATGAGGACATTTAGCATTAAAACTATATTATAGTGTTTTCAAGAATAATGTAAAAAATGTATACCAACACAATTATTTAATTTATAATTATATTCAAGTAAGTATTCTCTGATAAAATGTTTTATAGTTTTTAAGAGTTATAGTAACAATTTTAGATCAAGAAAGAAATGGCCATTACAAAATCTGGCCAGTGAAATTTCAATTTTAACATTTACCATTTATATCCAGGAGTTCACACATATAATGGCAAATAAACAGTTGATATCAAAATTAACCACCTGAGTCACGTATTCAGCAAATATTTATTGCGTGTCTATGTGCCAGGCCCTGCTCCAGATGCTGGAGATATGGCAGTAAATAAAACAGAAATAATTATCCAAGTGGAACTTACATCCCAATGATTCAAATTCAGGACAGAGCCATTGAGAAAAAAACAAAAATTTTTTTAAAAAGTTACAAAGTGATAAGGGCTGTGAAATAAAACAGGGATAAATAATAAGTGTAGGGTCAGAGGTGACCACTATAATGTTATGAATTGGCTGGGAGGCCATTACTAAGAAGTGACATTTGAGCAAAGTCCTGAAGATGAGGGAGAAACCCAGGTGATACCTAGAAATCTAGAGGAGAAAGCATTCTTGGAAGGAGTAGCCAAGCATGAAGGTCCTCATGTGGGAATATCTTTGGCAGTCTTCACGTAATAGTAAGAATGCCAGAGTGGCTGAAACCTGCTGAGTGTGAAGGGGATGAAGCTGTGCTGGGACCTGAAAGTGTGCTAAGGACTTGGCTCTTTCTCTGAGCAAGAAGCTATTGGAGGGTTTTGGGACAAGAGTAACATGGTTTGACATGTATTTTAAAAGAGTAATTTTGGGGGCGCCTGGGTGGCGCAGTCGGTTAAGCGTCCGACTTCAGCCAGGTCACAATCTCACGGTCCGTGAGTTCGAGCCCCGCGTCAGGCTCTGGGCTGATGGCTCAGAGCCTGGAGCCTGTTTCCGATTCTGTGTCTCCCTCTCTCTCTGCCCCTCCCCCGTTCATGCTCTCTGTCTCTCTCTGTCCCAAAAATAAATAAACGTTGAAAAAAAAAATTTTTAAAAGAGTAATTTTGGTTTCTGTGGTAAAAATAGTCTGAAAGAGGCCAGGGACAGATCATAGAGTCCCATTAAGGGACTGCCATAGTAATCCAAGCAAGAGATCATCATGGGAAGTCATGAGAAGTATTCAGTTCTAGATGTATTTTGAAAGGAGATCCCAAAGGATTTGAAAGGAGATATACCTAATGGATAGTTATAGAGTGAGATAAAGAGGATTCAAGCTTAACTGCAGATTTTTTTTATCTTGAACAATTAGAAGGTGGTGCTGCTATTTACTACAAAGAGAAAATTCCGGATTTTGGACATGTTATATTTGAGACGACTACTAGATATCCAAGTGGAATAGCTGAACAGGCATTTGGATAGGACTCTGGAATTCAGGAAAGAGGTTAGAGTTGGTGATAAGATTTGGGAGCTTCTAGCAGTACAGATGGTACTCAAGTTGTAGGACTGAATGGAGCCTCTGATGGAATAAGTATGGATATGAAAGAGTCTGAAGATGGAGCTCTGGGTCACCCCCAAGTTCAGATAGGGAAGATAAGAAGGAACCAGTAAAAGGGGCTTCAGAAAGAATGGGTAATGATATAGGACAGCACGACAACCTAGAAGCCAAGTCAAAGGAATGTTTAAATGGGACTGAAAACTATAAATTATTAGGGATTAGGATAAATGAAGGGTTAAGAAAGATTGTATATTCTGATTTAGGGTTTAATTCCTACTATTGATCATATACAATGGCCATTAAATTGATCCAGTAGAATATTATTAAAATAGGGGTAAAGTGTAAGTCCATGGCATTTACACACCTCTAACAACCTAGGATAGGATGCTTTCAGTTAAATTGACATCACAATGTTTAAGAATAAGAGCTTTTGAGTCTAAGTGACCCGGGTTTATTAATCCCAGTTTTGGTGGGGTTTTGGAGGAAATTATATAACTTCTTTATACCTCAGTTTCCTCATTTGTAAATGGGGCTAATGTTATTACCTATTTACAAGGTAGGCATTACAAAGATTAAGCAAAATACTGTCTCTAAAATGTATGGCATACTGCCTGGCACATGGTAATTACTCAATAAATATTTGTGATTATTAGTATTATTATCTCTGTTACTTTTTTCAGGGTAATTCAGAAAATGTTAGCATAATTTTACTGCTACTATGATAGCAGAAGGTAAATATTCAATTAATTTATATTAAAATATACCTGAAAGAGCTCATAGTTAAATCTGTATTTATTTATTTTTTTTTTAGATTTCTTTTTTTAACATTTATTTTTGAGAAATAGAGAGACAAGAACGAGCAGGGGAGGTACAAAGAGAGAGGGAGACACAGAATCCGAAGCAGGCTCAGGCTCTGAGCTGTCAGCACAGAGCCTGACGCGGGGCTCAAACCCACAAATCGTGAGATCATGACCTGAGCTGAAGTCAGCTGCTTAACCGACTGAGCCACTCAGGTGCCCCTTGAATCTGTATTTAAAGCACAAATCTATTTATCTCATCTTTAAAGGAGACATTTTTACCTTTTTAAATTTTAAACCTGTCAGAAAGTATTTTTCCAGAATGTATAACATTTACTACAAAAATATAATATTTTATATATACTATTCAGTTTATAACACATCAAGAATCTTTTAGCTTTTAGGCTCTCATGTTCATACCAAGCTCACATGAGACATATATTAAAATTGCAACCCTGTTAAACATCTCTTAAGCTCCCAAAGTTTTAATTATGCCTTTTATATATACTATACATATATAGTATATATAGAACTATATACATATATAGTATATATAGAACTAAGTCAATCATAATCATTTTTATGATAGCATACAGCTCTTAAATTCTACAAATGTATGATTGGGAAGAATAAAACACTGTAGAAGGATATCAAACTATAATCTAACTGAAATGTCATAGGCTTGAAAGGTATAAAGGTGACAGTTTCAATAAAACTGAGGAATAACTAAAGGGTTAAACAGATGCTTTATTTCATAGGAGATGTAATTGTTTCAACCATAAAAGTAAGAGGAACAATGAGGTTGAAGGAACTAAATCAATGAATACGTCCATTTTCAGCCTCCAATAGGTAGAAAATCAGTTACACTTGGTAAGAAAAGCAGTAGAAGGCTGGGCACATTACCTTACTTCAAACTGTATCATATCCCTTGACATGGCCATGTGTTATAATGAGCCTTATAAAATAAAAGAATCAGTGAAAGAAAAATAAAATGTTAAGGTGCTACTGAGGCAGAGTGTCAGGCAATAAACCTATTCTAATTAAAAAGTATAATTTGTGTGAACTATGTTTTTATTGATTTTGTTATTTCTTAATAAAATTCTTAATCTAAAAGAGTCCTATTACCTACCACTCAGAACTGCAATTAGCACTTAATGCTTTCTAGATCTAACTTTCTGCTAGAAAATTATTTATTATGATGTCATCTCTTAATTTTATGATGTGTGTATTTAGCTGAAAAATAAGAAATCTCCTACTAAAGAGTAAGAGGCCAAAGGAAAACAGAAAATGTGCCTTTAGGATTTAGAGGGAGAAGAAAGCCACCAAATCACCACAGTACTGGAATAACCAATCCAAACAGGAAAAAGATATAGAGGTGTGCTTGTATCTGCATACAAAACAAAGAAACCAAACTTTAAAATATGTCTAAAAATCAAAATCCTTTGAACATGAAAGAGAACCTAGGTTTTATCTGAATAGGCATTTAAACCCATCGTGTTCACTGAAGATTTAAATTTTTAAAATGGAGGGGAAAAAACTGGAGGATGATCAAAGAAACAAATACTATTCTAAAAAAAAATTTAATGTGCATTTAAAAGCAATCAGTAAAACAATTATTCTAGTTGAAATATTAGGGATACAATCAAATTAGTACATTTGTATAAATTGGCACACTTTATAGTGAACTAGAACATGAACCTAATTCCTTGTCATTGTTCTCTTCAGCTACTAAAATTTATTGGAAAATAGATATGATGAATAAAGAGCCTGAACAAAGACGTTTGTAGGCAAATAATATGCATCCTTAATTTGAAAACAATGAATGTGTAGTAATTAGCTTTTTCAAACCTGACCTTTCAAACAACCAACAAAATCACCAGCAACACACCTGTGAGTCCCTGAAGTACATCTCATATTGCTGTATCATCTGTCTGCTAATCAGGCTCCCATGGTAAACCACAACATTAATATCAGTCCATGTACGGAATTCTCTCTCCCAGTTTGCAATAGTAGAAAGTGGAGCGATAATCAGGAAAGGTCCTCTTATACCAGTCAGAAGGATTTCGTAGAGGAATGTAATTGACTGAATGGTTTTGCCAAGACCCATTTCATCGGCTAAAATGCAGTTCCGTCTGAAATAAACAAATATATTATCCATGTATACATTGGGTTTTTCTGTACACTACAATGTCTTTAAAGATAAATATTCAGAAATAATCAAAGACCAAGTTAAAATACTTGCATTTATAAAAAATAAAAGTTGCTGAAGTGCAGAATAGGCATATCATTATTTATATATATAAAGTTATAATTTTATTATAATCCTGAAGAGGGAAAACTGTAGATTTTTGTAGCTCCAAAATAAAGATATCACCCGTTAGAGGTATGATTTTGTTAAAGAATGAAATGGCAAGAGTAAGGCAAACTAAATATATTATTTTTTCAGGAAGCATTTATTAAATACCTTCTATTATCTCAGGGACAGTATGAGAAGATAGGATACAAAAAAAATAGAACATGTTTTCTGCCTTCCAGGGGCTTGTATCTATTAGAAAAGCAGACATGCAAACAGATAAATAAATAAACAACCAAACAAATAAACAGTTATGCAATGTGCTATCACAGAAGCACAAATAAAGCACTGTTTTTCAACTTTGGCTGTGCATTAGAAGAACCTGAAAGCCTGAAAGAAACACAAGATACCCAGGGTTTTCCCCTACACATTATGATTCAATGTGTATGGAGTAGGATAAAAGCAGCTGTAATTAAAAAAAGAAAAGAAAAAGTTCCACAGATGATTATAAGGCCAGTTGAGAATCATCAGAGTTAAGTTTATTAAGAAGCTCAGAGGAGTAAGTGTCCAACTCTGGCAAAAAGAGAGAGTAGAAGAGATCTCTTTCAGAGAAGAGGTTAGTAATGGGTAGGATTTTGCCAGAGAGCACAGCAAAGGAGTAGAGGTGTAAAGAACATGACCAACTGGGAGACTACAAATATGGTTTTGAGATGAGGGTAAAAGGAGGGGGTATTATTGAGATATGAAGAGGTCATAAATGAAGAAGGTTAGACATCATTCTGTTATGCAATGGGAGTCAGTGAAAAGTTTTAAAGAAACCTGATGAGATTGGGTTTGTATTTTGAAGTTCACTCGGGTTCTGCTGTGGTTATTAGAAGGTGAGGTGACTAGAAGCTGGGACACTAACTGGTGAAGTACTGTAATAATGCAGGAAACAATGATGGGCACTTGGACTAAGGAAGGGGGGCAAAGAGGAGAGAAAGTTAATTATGACTTGGAACGATTTAGACTTAGTGACTATTCAGATATACGTGGTATCAGATGACAGCCAGATTTCAGTCTGGTTAACTAAACGAACTGTATTATTGTTAATTTAATTTATGTAGGCTCCACACCCAACATGGGGCATGAACTCACAACCCCAAGATCAAGAGTTGCATGCTCTACTGACTGAGCTAGCCAGGTACTCCTGAACTGTGTTATTCTTAACTGAAATACAAAAAATGGAAGAAGAACAAGTTTGGCATGGACGAAACAGGAAGTGATATGGTTAATTTTGAATTTTGTGTTTAAAGAATTGGTGAGATAGACTTTAAGGGTAGCAAGAGGCAAAGGGAAATATGGGCTTGGAGTGAGTTCAAGGTCTTAGAGATAAAGATACGAGACCATTAGGATGTTGTTGATAAGTGAAGGCACAAGGCGGGGTGGAGAACAAACCTGTACCAGAAGAGAGCAAAAGAGGAACTTCAGGAGGAAAAGCAATACTGAAAGGGCAGGCAGAGGAAGGAAAACCAGCAGACCTGAAAGTCACGGAGTCACACTATGGAAGCTGCTGGGGGCGAAAATGGGGGAAAGTTTACAGAAGGAGCAATTACTACACAAATCACAAATCAAGAATTTGCAGCAGGGACACAGCAAATTAGGGCTGAAAAATACCTCATGGATTGGGAAACAGAGCGTTACAAAGATAGAGAATCAAATCCAAACAACAGGTTTAGAGAGAGCTGGAGATGAGGAAATGGGAAGAGACCATATGGCCTGTTCTTCCTAGAAATTACAAAGAGGGCTCGAGGCAGCCAGAAGGAGGAAGACAGCCAAGAAGAGAAGGTTTATTCTTTTCTTTCTTGTATTTTTACAACAGGTTAAACCCAGATTTGTTCGCAGAGTGAAGGGACAGCACTACTCTTGAGAGGGCTTGAAGAAGTGACAGAGGTGTGAGAGTTGAACGAAGTGAGGTTCTGAGAAAACTGGATGAGCTGCATCTCAAGAACATAGGTAGCAGCTTGAGTCTTGGTCCTGGGGAGGCACCTTTTAACTTCTGGTACATGAGGATGGGGTAAGAAAAGCTAAGAATGGAGCTACGTTTGTAGGCCTGGCTCTGAAGGCGGGCAGGAATCTGAACAAGCTCACCTGTGGGCCCTGGGCTCCTCTACGGAGCAGTCACATGGGCAGTGAGAAGGGCTGGGCTGTGATAGAGGGCTGTCAGGGAACTGCTGAAAGTTTAAAACAAGCAATGGAGGCCATGGGAAGGGTACTGATGAGGGAAAACAAGTAAAACAATATTTTGTTAACTATTTTACCTGGAAGGTTCTCCTGAGAAAAATGAAAGCCAATATTTAGAAAATATAAACTAGAAGAGTGCTGTGTGAGGTAACAAGTCCCTCCTAACTCCATATGACTGCATCTCATGACTCCCCATTACTCAGTGTAACAACTCAGAAGAATCAAGTGAGAAGTAAAAACACAGAAGAATGATTCTGAATAAAAGCATCATCAAATTTTGCTGTTATCACTAATAACAATGCCTTATTGTTTGCTCTTTTGTATACACCACCATACTTTCTCAATCATGGGTCTGTTTTTCACTTCTTTTGCAACTATATTTTCTTCTCAGTAAAAAAGTGAGATAATGTTCCACACAGCATTTTGAACAACATGGAAAATAATTAAAGGGGTAAATTCATTACTAGGTTCTTACATTTTGATTTCTGCTTCTGTTTTTTTGTTTTTGTTTTAAGTAGGCTCCATGCCCAGCGTGGGGCTTGAAGTTATGGCCCTGAGACTGAGAGACTTGCATGCTCTACTGACTGAGCCAGCCAGGCACCCCTTATATTTTGATTTCTACTCCTCATCAACTGCTGACAAACTGCTTCTTGAAGACTTAAATAATAGACCTACCTAATTCTTACTGGTATAATTGCTCACACTTTACTAACCGGATTCAATTCCTGGCAGACAGCAGTCTAAGCTGATAAACTGAAAAATACTTTGTAACACAACAGATGTTTTATGATGGTAAGAAAGGTATTTCAAATTTTATTATTAATCATTTAAATTAATTAATCATCTTAATTAATCATCTGATTGGCATACCGTTAAAGGAAGGAACTGAAGTCAAAATCCTAAATTGTAATTTATATATTTTCCTGAGGTAATCTCACTTTTAATAATAAAAACTCCATGACAGTAACAATACAGCAACATCAGTACCTATTTTACTTAACATATTTTGACACAAATAATAAAACAACACAATTTTTTTCTATTAAGATGTACTACCTACCTATTGTACCAATTGAATAAGAGCCAGTTGAGTCCTTCCAGTTGATATTCCCTGAGTTGATTGCCATTTTTATAGTCCCTGGATTGATCAATTTTTTTCCAAATATTAGCAGGAGGACGATCCTTTAGAAAAAAAAAAGAATGATGTATTTCAGAGTTTTTTAATCTTCCATACATCTCATACATGGTAAAAGCATTGCTTTTAAACTAATTATAGAAGCATAACATTACATAGTGTTATGACAAAATTTTACAAACATCTAGAGACCAAGTTAGTTCTGCACAAACTCTTCCAGAAAATTGAAGAAGGCAGCATATGTCAACTCATTCCATGAAGCCCTGATACTAAAATCAAAGATATTACACAAACTCACTACACATCAATATCTCTAATGAATACAGATGCAAATTTCATAACACAATTTTAACAAATGGGATCCAATATTGAAAAGGGTAATACATCATGACCAAGTGAATTTTTCCCAGGAATGGAAGATAGTTTAAATTTGAAAATTAATCAATGTTGATCAACAGACAAAAATAGATAATCTCAAAAGATGCAGAAAAGGGATTTAAGAAGTCCAATACCTGTTCCTGATAAAACTTCTCATTAAATTTTGAATAGATGGGAACTTCCTCACCTGATACGGTACATCTACGAAAAGGGCCAAAGCTTACATCATACTTAATGATTAAAGACTGAATGTTATCTCCTTAAGAATGGAAAAAGGTAAGCATGTCCACTGTCCCCACTTTTATTCAACATTGTACTGCAGGTTCTAACATGTGCAATCAATCAAGAAAAAGAAATAAAAGGCATTAAGATTAGAAACGAAGAGGTAAAACTAAATTCGAAGAAGACATGATTTGTCTATGGACAAATCCTGTGGAATCTAAAACAAAGATAAACTAAACAGTGATTTTATTAGCAAGGTTGCATGACACAAGATCAATACACAGAAAACTATATTCTACATCGTAGAAACAATTACAAACACATTAAAAATTATCATAACAGCATCCAAAATATGCACTATTTAGGAATACATCTCACAAAATCATGTAAATAAAAAGGTAAATAAAAAGAGGTAAATAAAGAGGTAAACAAAATCATGTAAGAGTGGTATATTTAAAACTATAAAACATTGCTGAGAGAAATTAAAGAGGTAAATAAATAAATAAATGTTAATACCTTCCAACTGAAAAACAGATTCAACATAACCCAACCAAATCCCAGCAATGTTTTTATAGAAATTGACATGCTGATTCTAAAACCATATATAAATGCAAAAGACTAGAAAGATCCCAAACAATTTGAAAAATAATAAAGTTGGAGGATTTATAATGATTTCAAGACTTGTAAAAGTTAAAGAATCGAGACTGGGTGGAACAGTTGTAAAGATAACAAATAGGTCAGTGGAACAGGACAGAGGGTTTAAAAATACACCCACATGTATGAAATCCATTGATTTCTGACAAAGTAGGAAAGGCAATTTAGTGGACTAAAAATAATTATTTTCCCCCCAAAATGATGCTAGAACAATAGGATACCCATAAGCAAAAAATGAACTTTGATCCATACATATACTACATGCAAAAATTAACTCAAAATTCATAATTGACCTAGCAATCCCCACCAAAATAACACTAGCATTCTTCACAGAGATAGAACAAACAATTCTAAAACTTATGTGGAACAAGGAAGGATCCAGAATAGCCAAAGCAATCTTGAAAAAGAAAACCAAGCTGGAGGCATCACAATCCTGGACTTCAATCTGTATTACAAAGCTGTAATCATCAAGACAGTATGGTACTGGCACAAAAACAGACACTCAGATCAATGGAACAGAACAAAGAACCCAGAAATGGACCCACAAAAGTATGGCCAACTAATCTTTGGCAAAGCGGGAAAAAATATCCAATGGAATAAAGACAGTCTCTTCAGCAAGTGGTGCTGGGAAAACTGGACAGCGACATGCAGAAAAATGAACCTGGTCACTTTCTTACACCATACACAAAAATAAATTCAAAATGGATGAAAGACCTAAATGTAAGACAGGAAGCCATCAAAATCCTCAAGGAGAAAGCAGGCAAAAACCTCTTTGATATTAGCCGTAGCAACTTCTTACTCAACATGTCTCCAGAGGCAAGAGAAACAAAAGCAAAAATGAACTATTGGGACCTCATCAAAATAAAAAGCTTCTGCACAGTGAAGGAAACAAGCAGCAAAACTAAAAGGCAACTGATGGAATGGGAGAAGATATTTGCAAACGACATATCAGATAAAGGGTTAGTATCCAAAATCTATAAAGAACTTACCAAACTGAACACCCAAAAAACAAATAATCCAGTGAAGAAATGGGCAAAAGACATGAATAGACACTTCTCCAAAGTCATCCAGATGGCCAACCAACACATGAAAAAATGTTCACATCACTCATCATCAGGGAAATACAAATCAAAACCACAATGAGATACCACCTCACACCTGTCAGAATGGCTAACATAAACAACTAAGGCAAGAACAGATGTTGGTGAAGATGTGGAGAATGAGGATCTCTTTTGCACTGCTGGTGGGAATGCAAGCTGGTGCAGCCACTCTGGAAAAATAGTATGGAGGTTCCTCAAAAAATAGAAGTACCCTATGACCCAGCAATTGCACTAGGTATTTATCCAGCAAATACAGGTGTGCTGTTTCAAAGGGGCACATGCACCCCAATGTTATTTATAGCAGCACTATCGACAATAGCCAAAGTATGGAAAGAGCCCAAATGTCCATCAACAGATGAAGAAGATGTGGTGTGTGTATACACACACACACACACACACACACACACACACACACACACACACACATATACATACAATGGAGTATTACTCGGCAATCAAAAAGAATGAAATCTGGTCATTTGCAACTATGTGGATGGAACTAGAGGTTATTATGCTAAGCGAAATTAGTCAGAGAAAGACAAATGTCATATGACTTCACTCATATGAGGAATTTAAGATCCAAAACAGATGAACATAAGGGAAGGGAAGCAAAAATCATATAAAAACAGGGAGGAGGACAAAACATGAGAGACTCTTAAATATGAAGAACAAACAGAGGGTTGCTGGAGGGGTTTTGGGAGGGGGGATGGGCTAAATGGGTAAGGGGCATTAAGGAATCTATTCTTGAAATCATTTTTGCAGTATATGCTAACTAACATGGATATAAATTTAAAAAATAAAGCATAAAAAAATTCATCATAGACCTAAATGTTACCTAAAACTAAATAAAAATTTCTAGCAAAGATTTCTTAGATATAATACCAAAAGTATGATCCATAAGGAAAAGACAGATAAACTGGACTTAATCAAAATTAGGAACTTTTGTTCTTTTATAGACATTGGTAAGAAGTGAAAAGACAAGCCACAGACTAGGAGCTAAGATTTACAAATCATATATCTGATAAAGGTCTTATATATAGAACACATAAATAGTTCTTAGAGCTAAATAATAGGAAAGCAAACAAGCCAATAAAAAATAGGCAAAATATTTAAATGTCACTTTGTTAAAGAAAATACACTAACGGCAAATAAACACATGAAGAGATTCTAAACATCATTAATCGTTAGGAAATGCATATAAAATCACAATGTCGTACCATCATATACATATTAGAATGGCTAAGATTAAAAAGACTGTCAATATCAAGTGTTGACAAGGATGTGAAGCAACTAGAACTCTTATACAATGCTGTGGAGAATGTATTGTGGTATGACCAATTAGGAAAAAGTTTGGCAGTTTCTTAAAAAATTAAACAGAACACTGAACATATGACCCAGCCATTTTACTCGTGCGTATTTACTGAAGAGACATGAAAGCTCACGTCTAGACAAAGACTTGTCTACTAAAGTCCATAATACCTTAGTTCTAATAGCCAACACAAGTATTCATCAACAGATGAATGGATAAACAAATTGTGGGATATTACAACAAATCCTACTCAGTAATGTAAAGGAATGAATGAACTATCAATACATGCAATAACATGAATTTCAAATGCTACATGAAAGGAGTCATACAAAAAGAACGGTATAAGAACATTTAAAACAATTCATAGTGACATAGGGAAGATCAGTAATTGTCTACAGGTGGGGAATGGGGTTAGAGGAAGGAAGATTTTGGGGGGAGGGATTACAAAGGGGCATGAGAATATGGGAGTGATGGATAGTTCATTATCTTGATAATAGTGATGGTTTCAGACATCAAAACTTACCCAACCGTATACTTCAAATATGCAATTTACTGCATGTTGCTTCAAACTCAAATTATCTTTTAGAAATATGATGTAGCTGGGTCTGGTTCAAGATGATAACAGAGGAAGAACCTGAACTTACCTTTTCCCACAGACACCCTAAATCTACAACTACATATGCAACAATTTCCTCTGAAAGCAACCCCAAAACTAGCTGAGTAACTCCTACACATCAGGCAAATGAGAAAAAAAACAGGTGAGACAGGCTGAGACATAATCTCGCCATAAACCCAGTGCCCTGTGTAGTGACCCATAATCAGGAAGGAACTTACAACTCTAAGCTTCTCCCTGAGAAGCAAATGGTTTAAATGCTGTATGTTGGTACCCCAACTTTTAAGATCTGAACCTGAGAGATGAGCCCCCAAAACATCTAGCTTTGAAACCCAATAGGGCTTGCATCCATGAAACCCACAAGGCTACATAGCTAACTGAGAGACTTCTTCAGGTGCTCACGTGGACTCACCTGGCTACATCCCAGGACTAGTGCAGAGGCAGCCGACTAAAAAGGATGATGTATATCGAATTTTCACTCATATTTTAAATCTACCATACTTCTCTATACCACTTTTGATAATCATGGTACAACGAATTTCTTTGAAAAAAAATCTAGAAGCATAACACTGTATGCAAAAAAAAAAAAAAAAATCATTTACATATATACTTTAGTCCCACTTTTCAATATATTTTTTCTTCCCCAGTAATAAAAAGCTCTGTCATGAATTTATTCTGGATAGCCAAGACATAAACTTTCTTAAGACTGATGGATGGGTGGAGAGAGAACAATATTCTAGCCCCAAACTAGTAGGATCTAGGTCTCAGGAGGATAAATACATTTCTGAGAAACAAATGCAAGGTTTCCTATGGTCTCCCACTTGCAAGTGAGAGTATATTGTTACTAATCAACAAAATGACACCTCTAAAAATTACCAGGATGGTCAGGGTCAGCATATGGTAATTGCGAAAGAAAAACAAAATAGGCTATTAGTAATCTGAAAACAGCTGGCAATTAAAGCTCTGCTGGAACTAAATACAATCAGGGTTTACTAAAGAAAACATTTCTTAAATGGTATCCAGTGAACTTGAATTTCCAGAATCTCTAAAAACACTTTACATGTTTTATATGTTGTTTTATTCAATAATAGCCTAGCAAAAATCCACTTACCTCCTACAGTATTTAACTATGTTAGGCTTGCACCACTGTCAAATGCATGTGGTACGTGAATTAAGGGGATTGTTTCTAATGGCTAATCTCCCTTTATCAAGGACTAAGGCAGTGCTTTTCTCAGTCATGTGTATCAAAATCTTTTTTTTTCTATTTAAAAAAAAATTTTTTTTTCAACGTTTTTTATTTATTTTTGGGACAGAGAGAGACAGAGCATGAACGGGGGAGGGGCAGAGAGAGAGGGAGACACAGAATCGGAAACAGGCTCCAGGCTCCAAGCCATCAGCCCACAGCCTGACGCGGGGCTCGAACTCACGGACCGCGAGATCGTGACCTGGCCGAAGTCAGACGCTTAACCGACTGCGCCACCCAGGCGCCCCAATATCATCTTTTTTAAAAACACTTTTGCCTGGGGTCTGCTCTCAGACATTCTGATTCTGAAACCAGGAAATAGAAAACCAGGCATCTTGAATTTCTGAAAAGTTCCCAAGTGATTCTGATATGCACTTCTGACTGAGGATCACTGACTGATGAGGCTAAAAAACTAGGTTACCACTGAGGCACAGTCCCCAATTCCAAAAAGAAAATCTTTCCTTTCCGTTATATCCCTTGACCCACCCCCCTCCCTTAACTAGTTAACACTTTTGCTTCCCAGTACAAGGGAAGGCATTCTGTAGTCAAAGGAATGGGGGTAAGGCTGCTGTTCTCTTGGTGGCAGATGATGGATATTACTGAGAGATAAATTAAGAAGAACAGAAAAGAGTTATTATAAAAATATGATCTATTCCATGAACAATTAATTTATTTCCTACTCTTATGTCATATCTCCACATTTTTCATGGCAGCCTTCCTCACTGTGATGCTAACTGAAAAGTGATCTGCGCCTGCCTTTCCATGTATAAATTCCCTCTTCGGTGAAGTAAGAAATTTCTGTGACCAAATTACATTTGAAAGAGGACAGGACAAAATATTTAATAAAATCATAATAGGTCTCATTGTGAATTTCTTTTGGATGGCCCCCAAAACTGGATTCACAGAATAATCTTATGTTTTAGAGTTGAAATAAACAATTTTAGGAATTAAAAGTAAAAAAAATTATTCAACATCACTCATCATCAGGGAAATACAAATGAAAACCACAATGAGATACCACCTCACACCTGTCAGAATGGCTAACATGAACAACTCAGGCAACAACAGATGTTGGTGAGGATGCCGAGAAAGAGGATCTCTCTTGCAGTACTGGTGCAAGTCCCACTACTGGTGGGAGTGCAAACTGCTACAGCCACTCTGGAAAGTAGTATGGAGGTTCCTCAAAAAATTAAAAATAGAACTACCCTATGACCCAGCAATTGCAGTACTAGGTATTTATCCAAGGGAGATAGGTATGCTGTTTCGAAGGGACACAGGCACCCCAATGGTTATAGCAGTACTATCAACAATAGCCAGAGTATGGAAAGAGCCCAAATGTCCATCAATGGATGAATGGATAAAGAAGATGTGGTATATACATACAATGGAGTATTACTCAGCAATCAAAAAGAACAAAATCTTGCCATTTGCAACTACGTGGGTGGAACTGGAGGGTATTATGCTAAGTGAAATTAATCAGAGAAAGACAAATATCATATGACTTCACTCATATGAGGACTTTAAGACACAGAACAGATGAACATTAGGGAAGGGAAGCAAAAATAGTACAAAAACAGGGAGGGGGAAAAAACAGAAGACAGTCTTAAATATGGAGAACAAAGTGAGGGTTACTGGAGGGGTTGTGGGA